GTGCATTATCATTTCTATGTCATTGTCACTTTTTATATTATTTACATATTCTAAGGACACCAGAGCCTAATATGAAACCTCTGCATGACTCAAACAGTAATTAACTATTGTTCACTCATATCTTGTAAATTATAAATGATCTGGTCAATTACAAATGCAGATGTTGGTTTATGATATACAAACATTAATGCCAATAGGCATTCAATAGAAACTCATTGCTGAAACCAGGCATTTGACTTAAATGTGCAGTCAATACCTATAAACTGGTTACCAGTAGAACTCATTCAATGTTAATTCTCTAAACAGGTCTGTTTACAGTACCGTTCATTGCATTTATTTATTAATGAATGCCTGGTCTCCAGTGATCTATTAACTTTATTCCCTTCACACTCTTCACCATAGAAGAAGCATATTCCTTTCTTTTTCTCTACTTGACATTGGCTCTCCAACCTCCCATTAGAAAAAGGAAAGAGTTATCAGGGAGTGAAGGAGATTGTTAAGATGGAGATTGTTAGTTTCTTATTTTTGGTTACAGTGGATTGATTATCAGCTCACTAGTAGCACAAGGATACCAGCGCTCTAAAGAACAGACCCTGTCCAACTTTCAGGCTTGGAAGACAAGAGCAACCAAGTTATGAAGACCAAGGCAGGCCATTTCTCTTCTTTTATCAGGACATTTTGACAGGAGTAACAGTTCTGGAATAACATTTGTGGCTCCTTGATGATGGCTCAAAATTTATTTCCATATAAGTTGGCTGTAAGAAACAATCAAACTTCATAAGGAAATTGCTTAGTATTTAGGCCAACCTACAGTCTTGTCATAGGACTTTCTACACAGAAAACTCAAGACACAACTATGAGAAGAATAGATGAAGATTATTCAACTACAAAATGATTCTGATGCTACATGTGTAATGAGTGCCTTCATTTAACTAAAATTGAATGTATAAGTCAATTTGCACTAGATTTTTAATAATACTATTGTTTAGAATTGTTGTAAAGACTTGATGATTGTATTTTAAGTCACTACTGGAGTATGTATCAGGTAGCTTTTATATGATTCTTTGTAATGCTAAATATTTTCCCCCTAGTACTGTAATTAACATCTCTATTTGGAACAAAGACAAATGGAAACCATTCAATTGTGCATTATTTTCATAAACTACAATGACAAATTACTATTAAAATAATTTAATAATCTTTTAGTCTTGTTTTCAAAAGAACTTTTACATCAGTACATCTTTACAATCCTACCCTTGTGTTTTAGTATTAAGAGTTGGAACTATGAAGGTAAATGCTAACATAGCCTGATATATATAATTCTTGCATTTTATTTCAATAATACCACCATAATTTTCAAATAATTACCTATTCAGTACTCCGAAAGTAAAACAGCCAGAGATATTGAAGTCTTCAAAAAAAAAAAAAGCTCTTAGTCCTCACTCTTCTCTCTTCACTTGGAATATTTAAAGTAATAAGTGTTTACATTGAAGGAAATAAACAGCCAAATATTTTGGAGATAGCAATATATGTAGCCAGATGTTCTGGCCTCTGACCTAAACAATCTGGAGCATAAATTCTTTAAAACTTTTTCAGATTCATTGCTAAAAGTATGAAGGGTTACTAATCAAAAAGGAAACTATAGAATTAAGCTGGACCAGGGCTGTGAAGGTAGCTCAGTGGTAGAGCGCTTGCCTTGCATGCCTGAGGCCCTGGGTTCGATTCCTCAGCACCACATAAGCAAAAAGAAAAAAAGCCGGAAGTGGTG